AACCTTGGCTCTTTTATGGCTCATGGACTTCAACTCCCAGAATTCCTGAGCCAGCATGGCTCAGCTTGGAAACCTCTCCCTGTCCCCTCAGCGTGGCTGGCTCAGGAATTCTGGAAGTTGAAGTCCACGAGCCATAAAAGAGCCAAGATTGCCTACCCCTGGTCTAGAGTACATGAAGAACATTTTTGGTTGGGAAATCACATCCTACCAGTTCTGAGCCAGAATTTCCTTTCCTAAATTCTTCACTCCAGAATTCTCTCTAGGATAGGTTCTATATCATTGCATCTTCTAAATGGGTGAGATATGCATTCTTTGAGATAAATTAAGTGTAGTTTTAGAATTCTAATCTGCCAAAAGAGTTTGGCAATAACAACTGCAATCAGAAACATCTGGAGGACAACATTGGAGAAGAATGGGATATGAGAAAACCAGATTGAGCCTACAATCCTATCCTGTCTGCCAGAGTGTCCTATTCAATGGGATTTAGTATTGAGTATATAATCCTGGTTAAAGATAATAATAACCTTTTTACCAATGGAAAGTAGAAGTTGGAGATTAATAATGGATATAGCCTCAGGGAGGTGGAAAAGCTTTCTTTCTCCAAAGCCTTACCTTCTGATCCCAGAAAGGCACAATTCAGGTTGGCTGAAAGGTCACCCCAGGCTTTGCATGGCATTTACATGTAAGTAACTGGAGCCCAAGGAAATTTAGGTAGCTTGTTTCTGCAAAGTTTAAGTTCCTCTTTTGGGTTCTTAATCTGCCCCAAACCTCAAATGCATACATGCAGACAAAAATGATGAGAGGTTTTTTTGGTGGGGGAACCAACTGTGAGGGAAAGAAATAGAAATGCAAAATATATACTGTTAGACTACATATGGGGCCCGAGATACACTTTTTCTACCCTTTCCTTGGCTCTTCACGCCTTAGATAAGTGTCCAAATAATTACACTGTGTAATCCCTTTCTGCCACAGCATTTCAACTGTTTCCGGTACAGACCCACTTTATCATAAAATCATGCAGTTGCAAGGTAGAATAGGAACCATTGTGCAAGGTCTGTTAAAGCATTTAGAACAGATGAAGTTCTTTCTGGTATCTAAGCAACTATTAACAATGTTAGCAGTGAGATTTGCATTATTAAACCTGAGCTTTTCAAGTACTTCTACATTATATTATAGGCATTCACATACATACATATCACACACACACACACATAAGTATAACCATTCTACAAACTGTATTTATAGACTTCTCCCTTCAAGTGATTTTTTTTAATTGCATCCCTACATTTCTAGAAAATTGCCAATTGCTCTAGACAGTGTCAATTGATTTAATTTAATTTCTGGCCAGGTAGTCAGTAGGGCAACTGAATTTTTTCCTCTTTGTCTTATAGCTTGGCCATTCTGTCCATTTCAGGTTTTTTTTTTCCAGTTTCTTGTTTCTGTAAATATGGTAAGTGTGATTCATTGAAAATTTTTAATACTATAAATTCAGACTAAAATTTGTACTTTCAATACAAATTTCTCAAACTATTTAGCTTTTGCAAACGATTTTCCACCACATCTTTTTTTAAAAGCTTTTTTTTTCCTGAATGTGCATTTTAAAATTGGGTAATGAACTGTACTGACAATTGTAAAGAAATTTGGGGTGATTGGACAAAGTTTTAGGTTGTGTATCAGTTAAAATAAATAGGAAACTAAATAAGCTTGCATTCAAGAGTGAACTAAACATATTTCTTCCATCCTTACTATAATTTGAAGAAAATTATAATCCTGTTGGGATCTGTGTTACTAGTCATCTTACTACTAGGCAAATATTTGACAAAGATAATTTGATTGAGCCAATGTCAGAAAACCTGATTTACATAAAAGTAATCTATAAAAATGCTTCTGAAGATGTGTTACATTGAACTGGTAGGCTGATTTAAAAAAAAAATTTGTATGGTCAATATTAATGCACCTGGATTTTAAATTGTCTTTCTTAGTTGTTAAATTAATTGTAAATAATTTTAACTGCTGTTTCAAATAGAACTTTTGGCATTTTTAGTGTAGCTATATTTTCTTGGCAGAGCTTTAGCCAAAAAGGTGGCATAGATATATTTTTTGAAAATAAATAAATGTGTAATGAATGGACACAATTATTCATTAATTTCTCTGCTGTTAGTATGATAGACTGGACATAACTGAAAATCTGTAGTTTTGATGAAAATAAAAATGAGTATATTATTGTTTAATTAGTAATTAAGAAGTAAAATTGTTAATTCAGAATCTTTACTACATTCAGTTTGGAAGTGGAATTGAAACTTGGCAGTATCTGAGAGTGCTCTACCAAGTGAATTCCTGGATTTCTGATTCAAAGCCTTGGCTTAATGGTACCACTATAAAAAAACATTTCTAGCAAACAATTGCAAATGTTCCTATTATGAAATGGTAGCATAGTTCTGATCCATCCTTCTTTTGTAGCTAAGAGAGGAACCAGCTCTTGATGTTCTTCCATCAGTTTGGATGAATGCAATGCTTGCGTTCAAGTATTTGAAAAGATGGAAAGAAGCAAGCCTTTTGCTTTATTTACTAAGGGTGAAATAACTTTAGAGCCAATTCCACATAGCAATTAAGAATGCTGGACTTTTATTTTCAAATCTCTCTTCAGTAGAGGAAGTGACCTTCTGTGACTTCATCTCTTCAGTAGAGGAAGTGATCCCAGAGTCACTGTAAGGATAGCTGGCATACATTCTCTCAAAGTTGCTGTGAGGATAGCAAGCATGGAAATAATACTGGTCTTTTAGGTTTGGCTGGGAGAAAGTCAATGAATGTTAGCAGTAGAAGAAACTGTAGATTTAAATGATTGCTGTACCACAACATTCTCTGCATTAGTTTTCTACCAATCCTCATAAAATCTAGATCAGTGTTTCTCAACTTTTTTCAACCTTGACAACTTTAAGATGGGTGGACTTCAATTCTCAGAATTTCACAGCCAGAATGGACTTCAATCCCTTTTGCATGCTGTCTGGGAAATACTGACCTAGATAACAGAAAATTTGTTTGAGAATTATTTTCAACTAAGAAGAATGTGAATGAAATGTTCAAGGGTAGACTGCAGTGTTGCTTACATTAAGGGAAGGAGTCCCCCATTATCTGGCTTTTTCAAGATGTGAAAGCAGCCAGGAGGGCTTCATAATGATGGAAAGAAGGGTAACAATAAACCCTAATCCCAAAAACAGCCTTGCTGTTCACCAAAAGCAATAAGATAACATTTTAAAAATCAAGAAAAGTTTGAAATAAATTTTCAATTTTTCTGAAAATTAGATAGAAAAACATATTAGAAGAAAGCTGTTGAGGAACTGCAAGGCAGAAATGCATAACACTAGTTTAAATGTCAGATTGAAACCACAGACTGATTCTTTGGGGGGGGGTCTTGTAACAGTGGAAATATTTGCTGGGAGTGGGTGGGAGGATTTTTCCCCTTGAAGTTCTTTAATTGTAAAAGCAACCTATTTTCCCCAACCTAAAACCCACCAGTAAGTTGGATTACAAAGCTGATCATGTCCTATGGGCAAGATGACTGGGATGTCATTGGTTTTGTTGTCCAACTCATTTAGGGACATCCAGTAAAGAAGATTGGAATAGATTGACCACTGATTAACCTTTGTTAGTCTGTTTCTGGTATCTAGACTTAGCATAGCAAGCTGATAGTTAACAACAGCAACAATAAAATAATACTAACAATTATGCCTAGTGCTTTATAGCAATTGCAGGAAACCTTTTTGTGGGTGAGCAGATAGATTTGGGGGGAAAAGCAAAAACACAAATGCAAAAGAGCCTAGTGGTGGCACACTATGTCTGCAAGTAAAATAAGTGTGCTAAGTTGTTTTGTGTATTGTGTTAGTAAAAATGTCTGCCAAATTTCTGTTATAAAAGGATCCAATTCAGAAAACCACACAAAGAAACTTGGGGTTGTATATTATAAGACCTAATTATGGTAGAATGAAGTAATAAGTTAGTTGTATCACTGATCTACATAAAAGCTAGATTTTAAAGAAGGTAATAGATGAAGAAAAAGAGTCACTGGGTTAAGCAACAGCAACATGCTATAATTCCGTATTGTGGACAGTGATGATATTGGAATTGTTAATATCAGGTGTGAGGAGATAGTGAGGTAATCCCAACATTGTGTCTTACAGAGGGGTTGAAACAGCAGTGTCTAAAATCTCCAGCTAACATTGGTCAAATATGGGACATATAGCACACCTTATTGAATCTTGCCAGATCTCAAAAACTGAGGAGGGTGCTTGGGTGAGAGGTCATCAAGAAATCCCATAGATGTGATTAGACTGGGGTTAGCCAAATAAAATATCTCAGAAGGTGGCAATGATAAATGTGTGCTTTACTGATGGTAAGGAAAATTACATAGAGTTGAATGCAACTGAAGGGAGATTTTAAATTTTTAATCCCAAAAGATGGCCTCAGATCGGCAGGATTCATTGGAGTAGAAAAGTTCAAGGGTAGAATGAAAGTAAGGGCTAAGAAAACAGACAATTAATTGACTGATATCCTGAATTAGCAACTATTACTTGCAATATGAGTATTAAAAGAAATCCTGAATTTGTCCTCTTAACAAATCCAATTCAGGGTCTTAGAACAGGAAGCATCTTTGCATGTTTATGAGGGAAAACATATTCACATTAATACAACTAGGCTGGGCCTGTAGGTAAAGTCTTTTCCCAAGACTTGGGGATCTTCAAAGAGCTCAAGTCATTAGTGAAGAAAGGTTTTCAGTGAGAGTAAGAAGGAAGGCTACCTATAGAAATGAAATTAAAAGACATCAGGAAAAGATCAGAATCAGAGCAAATTTAAGTTTATGATCTATGCCAGGAATTCTCTTCCCCTTCTTTATCAGGATCATCTGAGTTCCTTGTGATTCAAAGCATTTTTGCTTTTTTTAAAAAAAAAAAAAAATTATATTCTCTCTCTCTCTCTCTCCACCCCACCCTTAATCTTTGTAGGCCTTTGCACTGAAACCAAGTGAAGAACCTTATGATTGCACTATAGAGAACACAAGTCAGATAAGACTTCAGAAGGGGGAAAATACCCCAGCATCAGATAGCTCCTGCGTTTTTGGAAGACTCATCCATCAATTTCTCCCCAAATTTACACCACCGAAGCATCTTCTGGCTACACGCATCGAAACAAGCATTTATAGCCGTGCTTCCATTTTTCTTTCAAAGTCTATATTAGAAATCCTTTTCCCACTATGTTCCAGCGTTTCACCAGCCTCTTCTTCAGCGATAGCAGCTCAGGTGAAGTCGTTGAAGAACCTAAGCCTTTTGTTTCTAAAGAGGAAGAAGAAGATGGATGGCTTATTATTGATCTGCCAGGTGAGAAACATTGGAGTAAATGATTGGATTCTCACATAACTATTCTCAAATTGTACAATGGAAGGAGTGTGACTAGTTGCACTTTTAAAAAGTGATATAGAGGAAAAAAGAAACAAGGAGAAATTGGAACAAAAGTAAAGTTAGGCAGCAATTCTTAAATTTATACATAGATAGTCCTTGATCACTGGTTATGTTAGCTATCTACAAGAGCTTTCTCCCATACCCATGTTTGAAACCATGTCTGGCAAGAATCCAAATAATCTGTTTACAACTACATTTTTAGCTTGAAATTCTCGGTGTTTTCCAGACTAGTTTTTCAGGCCAGCTAGACTTCTGCCTTGCTGTTGAGCAGAAATTATATGACTCAACCATTTTTAATGGCAATAATTTGCTTGCAAATTAAGTGAAGAAGCCAAGTCAACAATATTCTCCATACCTTAGTTTTTAACTTATTTCGCCTTACCAATCCTCTTTATTTTTATTAAGTGACATTTTAATATCTTTAATGCTTCCCTTTTTACTTTTCCCTGTATACTGGAGTGTACTTTAAAATAGGTTTCAGATTAAAAGTACTGTTGTTTCCTTAAGAAAATGATTGCATTTGATCTGTGTCTTCGGCTTTATGTGTTTCATGCAGTAAGAGCCTTTAACACTTCGGAACAGAAACTAGAGCATTAAGCAATGAGTGCTACAATCATGAATAAGGCATGGAGAATTAGCAGATGCAACATACTCTCCTAATGAATGACTGAGAAAATGGGGCAAGGCAGCATACAATCTTGTTTCTCCAATATTCCTTCCCAATGTTCAACTGTTTATCAATTATTTGTTGTGGAATACAGATGCATGAATTTAAACTTCTCCAATATAATTCAAATGAAAATGCCTCAAAGTTGTTTAGGTGAACTATGGGAAACAGTTGAGAGACAGGAATGAGGCAGCCAAACAATAGGGCTTAGGGGCCCCTTCTTGCCTTACCTCAGCTATTTCTTGAAAAAGACAGGGAGAGTCAACTCAGTATCTTCCAAATTTCTTTAAACCACAGTTCCCTTCCATACAACCATCAGATCATGCAATGAGCATTTGTAATAGTTATTCAAAACATTTTGGAGGACAGTGCATAACTTCTCCCTGGAGAAGAGACAAGAAGCACAAAAACCCTGAATGCATTGAATGGCAGGGATGGAAGCCAAATGAACTCCCAATAGAGGATGAGGATAATTTGTTCATTAACCAGCAGTTTTTGACTAAGGGGAAAATGTAGAGTTGCCTTTTTTTTTTCATGACAGATACAGGTCTTACAAACATGGCATTATGAGAGAAAGACATCTGGAGGAAAGAATATAGTTCCTTGCCTCAACTGTTTCCTGACCTGTGGCCCTCCAGAATTTATAGCTGGAGTTATAAGTCCCAATAGGCTTAGGCAAAATGGCCAATGTTAGGGAATGCTGACAGTTGCAATTTAGCAACATCTGAAGGCCATATATTTTCCCATCTTTTTACACATTGCAGTATGTGAGTTAACCCAGCCAACATTGGTGAGAATGATGGATGTTTCATAAAATTTCCGGAAACAAATAATAATAACAGTACATAAAGGTAAAAGGTTTCCCCTGTCCAGTTGTTTCCAACTCTAGGGGACAATGCTCATTTCTATTTCCTAGCCAAGGGAGTCAGCATTGTCCAAAAACATTTCTGTGGTCATATATACTCAGCATGACTACACGCCAAGGTGTACAGAATACCATTTACCTTCCCACCGAAATGATACCTATTTATCTACTCACATTTGCATGCTTTCAGACTGCTTGGTGGGCAAGAGCTGGAGCAAGTAATAGGAGCTTACTCTGTCATGTAGTGCTCAGGTCTTGAATCCAAGCTGTCAGCTTTCCAACTGACAAGCTTAGCATCTTTAATCGCTGAGCCATCACGCCAACCCCCATTACAATACATAATATTTTATTAAATTTATATGCTATCCAGTTTTGGTAACCTGGTGTTTCTTTCATTTCTATATTCCTAACCAACATAGCTACTATATTAGCTAGGGGGTATTGGAATTAAAACTAATTCTGTTTGGAGGGCATCAATTGGAGAAGATTGGTTTAAATCAAAATAATCACTATATGTAATGACTATATGAAAATAATCATGGTCTATATACATCTTAATTAAAATGCAATGCTGGTTGCTTGGGGGGGAAACAAAAACAAAAAACTAACCACATTCCTCTGGTTAATCAGGGATATAATTATGATCACCCTCTTCCTAGTACCAGAATTGCACAAGACTTATTAAGACATCAGATGCAGAGTATCCACCTTCAAATCCATCAGCTGTGATGAGTAGTCCAATAACATAGACATTATTTTTCTACAACAGAGGGAGGATGTCACCTGCTTAAGCATCAAGCTAATGTTTTTGTAAATAAATTGGATTATCATAAGAATTTAAAGTTTTCCTATTTTAATATTATGAGTAGTAGGCTAACAAAGAGAAAATGAGAGAATGAAGAAAAACAATTTTAAATAGAAACCAGAATCTTTTTCTATCAGAAGATCTCAGTTCACCTAGCACAGGGGTAGGCAACCTTGGCTCTTTTATGACTCGTGGACATGCTGGCTCAGGAATTCTGGGAGTTGAAGTCCATGAGTCATAAAAGAGCCAAGGTTGCCTACCCCTGACCTAGCAGAATAAATGATAATATTTAATTGTGAGATGATTTGGATTTCTAATTAAATCTAAGCGCCAGGGTTCTATGAATTACAATAGATCAAGGCCTTTTATTAAAATTCATTTTATTTTGGAAGTAGAAAGTAAGCACCATTTAGTTCAGTAAAGTTTCTTTCCAGGGCCAGATTGCAAACAATATATTTTGCAAGCTAATAAAATAATAAGCAACTGTTGTTCTTAGGCAGTTAGGATAATCACCTTCAAAATTTGCAGGGACATCTCTGGATTAAGTAATCATAATCTACATTAAATTCTATGAGATAATTGGATCAGTGTACTGGTACACAGTATGCAATTTGTTGTCTATGAGAATTCTAATTTAAATACTTTGAAAAAGAAGTTATACTTGATGCATGAAACACTTTATATTCCTGTATACTGTATACAAATACATGAGAATTCAGAATTGCTGCTGCTGTTTGAAATGGAAGCCAGGCAGGTGAGCTGCCATGATTTCTCCATTTAATTTTAGAAAAGCTGCAGGGAGTTTTGGTTTTGATCAGAATTCTGACAGAGACTGCACGGGATTCCATGTTTTCCCCTGTTTTAAATTGCCTGCTGACTTATTAATCCTTATAGGGGAGTGTGAGAATGGTGTGTAAGTAAGACTGTGTTGGTGTATTTGTGCAAGTGACCCTACAATTATGCATAGAACTTCAGAAGATGTGGTGAAAGCTATATGTTGGGAGCAAAATAATTTGCAGCTGCTGAGGTCATTGCCCAGATGTTAGCCCGGTGAAGTAGTTCAGATAAGAAACACATTCAGGAGTACTAGCTCTATCTTTATTATAAGGTTATATTAACAGAATTTTACAAGACTGAAAGTATTTCTTCCATACTTTCCTTTCTCTCTCTAGAAAACTACAGAGGGTCTTTTCTGAAATGTTTCCCACACTCTCCCTCTTTTGTGGGCTGAGATATGAGTTATATACTAGTTGTCCAGTCTGCAGCTCTCCCTCCTGTCTCTCAACGTCTTTCCCACATACCATTGCACCAGGGCAGAAATAACCAGCTTTCAAACCCAAGATCACATTAGAGGAGGCACTACTGAGCCTTGAGCCCTTTGAAACTGGGCTGCGGAAGTGATGGGAGACTGCACACATGCATCCCCATTTGCACAAACAGTGGCAAGTGCACATGCACATGTTCCATTTGCATGTGGCGGGCACGTGTGCCTGCTGCATGTGTGCGAATGGAACTATGCGTACTTGCCCACCACTCACATAGAACCATCACTCCCCCCACTCAGCCAATCCGCAGAGCTGGAAAGGTTGGTGAACTCTGCACCAGAAGGCAAATTCCCAAAAACAAGACAAGAACAAAAGTTAATATAATTTAAATTGAAACTTCCATTCAATGAGGTTAATCTTATTATCCCATATGCACTTAGTTATTTTCCCCCCTTTGTCATAGTAGCACATTATATTGCACTGGTACTTTTGGAGTGATTCTGGAGTTTCTGCTACCCTTTGGAAGAAACAAGTTTTGCTTCCCTATTATGGAGGATAAAATAAAACTTGTTACAGCAGCCAATGCTTTTTTCTTTCTGCAGTTAGAGATGCTTTGAGGAAGGGCGATTCAGAATTAGGTAAACAGCACAGGGAAAGAGCTCGCTTGTTTAATCAAAACAAGAGGCCAGTTCATTTTTCTTTCGATAATCCCCTCCCCGATTGTAGGAAGATCTAACCAGAGACTTGATTTGGGGTGTCCACAATGCCCCAGTAACTGAAGCAAATGTTTCCATGTGTAATCTTAGTGTTGTGCCCATGCGCTTGGGTAGTGATAGCCATACAAAAGTCCAGTTTGGTTCTAATAGAAACACTGTGAAAAGAAGACTTTTAAAATTTTCTATTTTCTGCAATGATCTGAGTTAGTAAAGATACTTCCAAGCCTTTCCTTCGAAACCAACAAATCAAGGAAAAAGGCATTGCAACATAAGTATTCTAATTTAGGTGGCAAAGTTTTCTGGAATATCACATTGGGAATGACTGCAGTAGAGAAGGAAATGGCAACGTGAAGGCAAATTAATACTGTGAGCATTGGCTTTGTGCAGAAATATAATGTAAGACGCAGCTCCAAATCTCTGTCAACCGCAGCTGCCTTTGTGTCCTGAAAATCCACACCCGAGGGCTCTCCACAAGTGATGTTTACATCAATTCTGACATAGCAACATGCTGCCATGTTCCCATGACATCACCCTCCTTAACAGCCAAAGACATTTTCTTCCAGCTCAGCTGTGGCACTGTTCAAATAGCAAAACGTCTGCTTTGCAGTTTGCGACAATAGACAATCTGGGGAATTAGACATGGCCTGCTTTCCTGTTTGTGAGAACTCTTAGCTAATTCTACTCCCAGTGCCTGAACTGGGAGCTCTCTAGTACGTAGATTTTAAGAAACAACCTATCAACAAGCCTTACCACTATCTTTTAAGTCAGTTTTATGGTGCTTATAAAAAAACTGTTCAGCTTGGTTTTCTCTGCTTACATAAATTGCCTGTAACAAACAGGCTTCATTTTCCTTCCCAGTCTCTGGGATAAAATGGGCCATTGTTCCTCCCCCCCCCCCAATCTCCTATGTAAAGGCTCTCTGCTGCAACATACAACTGGAAGAAAAATTGTCTGGCTGCATAACTAGGGTGCCACCATCCCAGCTTTCAATATGAGTTCATATGCAGGAAGGATGACATTTAGATAGTCAGGCCATTTTTTTTATTTGTACAGAGACCTCAAATGACATTTTTCAGGAGCTGGGAGAGAATCAGGTCATTGCAATGCAAACTTGATCATTCAGCTTGATAGACCTTTTAGCATTTGAGTTTTACATGCTTAATAGGAATGTGTAATACTTTACATTAATTCCAAAGAGATGTTTTGAAGCATGTGGGGTACAAACACAGTACCTGATGCAACTCTTTAAAACAATCCAATTTCCCCCCTGAAACTGGAGAAGTTAAGTAAAGCCAGTGAGGTTACTACATGAGCCTGAGAAAAGACAGAGCTGCTTCCAAGAGTTGCAAACAAGTGACAATTATATGATAAATTTTGGGGTAATATTTGTTAAAACTATGCAGCTGAGGCTGATAGGTCTCTCTAAAAATGTATAGGATTATTGCTTTAATTTTTTTTTAAAAAAATCTCTCTTCTGGTGTCTAGTGATTGGGTCAATTTTAGTAGGATAAGCTAGAAAGTATGTTTTATTGAGGGAGGCACTTTAAAAATAATCCTTGTCTGCTAGAAATGCCACTCATTTAATTTTAAATCATCCTTCCTGTTCCCAAGTTTCCTTCTGGAATCATTTTTTGTTCCTTTTTTCAAAAATAAAGTCTCACTGTAATCTCCTTGAATTTAGAACAGCACACATTTAAAGACATTAGCATCTATAGCTGATCAGTAATTGATTTTTACTCTTTGGGAGAGATTTAGGCATTCTTATTATTTACAAATACTCTTTTAACTCTTGTGTCTGTTTGGTTATTTAGTAACCTAGTAGCATAATCTACCACCTGATTTGGTTCAGGATATTTATCTCCCTCCTTTATGCAGCATGATAATTATTGGGATATTTACACAGGCAACTGAAGTAGACTTATTTTATGGCCACAAATAAAATAGCACACAGAGGTTTATACCAAATGGAACACCTGACAATGTGGCAAAGAATGTCAGAAAGCACACCACAAGTGACACATAACTGCAATCTCAAGTGATGCTGAATATTGGAGTCACAGGATAGAAAAACCTCCTTGGCCAGTCCTAAGCCCTCAGGGAAGACTTCAGGATGAGTCACACCAATGCCTTTGGGGTATCTTTTTCACTAACAATGCCCCTCCTTTCTCTTCTCCTTCCCTTCCCTCTTCCTTCCCATCCATTGAATATATTGAATGTGTGCATCGTTTTCCTTCCTGTATGCACCCTGCACTGCCATGCTTTCCTGTTGAATGGCTTTGCACTATGATGTTTCTTTTGAATGTTGTGTCATTGTTGCTGCTGTTCTGGCTGTCCTATTTTGTGTGGCCGGTGATTGCTGTCATCTCTTATTAGATAGTTCGGCTTCAAGTCTTGGCACTCAGCAGTGGGTAGGTGAGAAGGATTCTGTTTGCGCTTCCCGTTGCCGCCATGGGTCCCTTCCACCTACCACGTCTTCACCCTACTCCCTCAGTGATTGTGTCAGCAGGTCCATGCCCTCTCAGACTGACCCCTGCTTGATGGATGAGAGTTGGTTTGTTACCCCTCCCCCCTGTTTTACTGCAGAAGGTCCAGATCCTGTCAGTATGGAGAGCAGCCCTATGGAGGACCTCTTGATTGAGCATCCCAGCATGTCTGTATATGTCACCACCACCAGCAGCATCATTGTGGAAAGAGAGGATCCTGAGGATAACATCCAGGAGAAGTAAGTTCAGGATAGGGCCTAATAGTTCCAGAGCCTTCCAGGTTCCTTTTCACAAAATTCACAGTTAGGGAAAAATATACTGTAGCTCAATGTTTTCTGAGCTGGTGGGTTCTCAGTGTTTTAAGATTATATCTCCCAGCATTGCAAGCAGAATACTGTATGTATACATTTAAACTTATATAAAAGTACACCCAAAAGGAGCCAAAAGTTAGGAGAGGATTGCAACAACTTGGAAAAACTTCTTCCCTCCATTTTTTGAAGGCTCTGTGAAATCAATGGGACTTACTTCAAAGTATATGTGAGCAGGATCATATTTATTGTAAAAAGAATGCTTAAGGAATTTCATTCTTGCAAATGCTGCTAAGTTCTTATTTGACTATCACTTCCTATTTTATTAGGCTGGCTGGAATGTCACTCTCCCAGTTAAATGTTTTTTGTTTTCCAGATGGATTCTTTGATGTAGCAAAATAAAAGTATATTCAGATAGTCTCAACTTTCACAGAGTACTTTTCATACTTGTGAGCTCCAAATATGCCTACAAATATGATAGAATTCCTATTTGGACATTCAATTCCTCTCTGTGATTAGAATCATATAGACATGCAAGAAGCACTTACTAATGTTGTTTACATCGGTACATTTCCCTACTTGCTGGAATGATGTAACTCAGGAATTTTGCTACCTGTGGAGGATAGTGAATATACATTACAGTAGATCCATGCTCAAATATGCCCCCTGCTGCCAGGATGCATGAGACCATCAGCGATCCCCATTTGCTCTCCTTTGGTTTTCATTGCATAGCTGAACTGACTACCAGAACAGATCCATAGTTACATATACCCTGAAAAAAATAGGAGGGACACTTCATGAATTGTCTATACATACAGCTATTGCGCATTTTGTTGTATATTGTGGGAGTTGTAGCCTGTGTTCCTTACCATATTTATGGATGAGTTGCTTACATTAATTTTTATGAATTGCTCTTTTGCTATTTAGAGGAAATGATATGCCCTTTGTTCTTTGAAGTAGGGCCTTGCCATATCAAAAATGCTGTGTCCACCTCACTTTGTATGCCTTTTTCTACAGCGAAATACCTGAAAACTGTTTACAGCGCCGTCCCCCACATCACTCCACTTCTCTTGCTACTAAGACTGCCATCTTGGAGAAGGTTAATCAAGTGCGTCGGATTCAGAGGGCAAAGCAGTTGGCAGAGAAGCACAAGTTCAGTCAAAAAGTCATGAAGAGGCAGAATCGTGCCAGAGAGTGCCGCCCACAACGGGCCAAACCCCAAGGCCATTTTGTCTACCAACCATGCCAGCGCCAGTATAACTACTAAGCTACTTCAGGAAGTCTACACTGTGGGGCATTATCCTTTTAACTTTTAGCTTCACTAGCTCTTCACAATGCTTTTTCCATCCAAGAGGGTTGTCTTCATTCATTTTCTGAAATTAATTGTCCCTCCCTGTGAGAACTTCCTACATTCTCATGAACTTGCAACATTAAATGGTAGATCTTTTGTGGGCTTTTCTTGAGCTTTATTCCCCATTTTTAGCAAAAAGTACATTTTCTGATCAATGACTTTTTTGTGTTTAATGTCCCATCTCCTACTCTACATCCTTTTTCCAGATTTTGATTTGGATCTCATAGTGAATGAAACACAACATGCCTTGCTAGCATTAAGAAACAAGACAGCAAGTCAACTTTGAAACTCCAATATATAGGTTTTTTTAAGTGTTGGAAAAACATATATGTATGTTGGTTGTTAAGAGAGACCATGTTTTTTGTGTGAGTGTTTCTTGGTCCTTAGGTAGCATGAATTCACACACTGGCTATTGTAGCAGTTGCCAGTGTTACACTAATTTGGTGCTTCCAGTGAATATATCACCTTTATTTTAATTTAAATAAGTTACAGGAGGAACATGGTGCCCTGTCATTTTTCATCCCTTGTTATTGCACTAGAGAGCCTGTGACATCAGTGCCTTTCTTTTTGACATCATGCTCGTGACACAAAAAAATCCCTAACAGATTATGATGTCAACTGGAGATACCAGGTTTCTGTGCAAAATGGAACACAAAAAAACAAGAAAGAAACCTAATGGATCCCAAGTTAAAGATTAATGACATGTATTTTAACATACTTCCCTCCATGAAAAATAAATAATTTGTATATTTGTTTCTTTTGATGAGTTGATGTAATGGCTGCTCATAAATTATCAAGGAATATCCTTAATTGCCTTGAGGCTGCAAGGCAATACAATGAATATTTCTATGAATTTTGCCATTGACTTCAAATGGAATATAGATAGAACCTAATTCTCTGTTCAGGTTGTCCCATGATGCAAAACTACAACTTTGAGAGCCCATTTTGAGTAGATGCAATTAACACTAACAATTTACAAATACTACAGAGGATATGTGATTATGAAAAGGGCAAAGTGGTATGAGTACTTTTCCTGTCTGATTAGTTGCATGGTTATCAAGGAGTTTCTTACAATACTATTAATGACTCTATAATTTAATGATCAAGTGTTTAGAAAAAGATTTGAAGTGTTTAGAAACTTTTGAGGCTCAGAAGCACATTTGTAAGCTTTGGGGCACTTTTAGAAAATGGTGCACCTGGGAATGAAGGCACATGATAAATCCAAATAAGTCCCATAACATGTCCCAAAACTCCCATTTACCAGAAAGCCAACTGGAGAGATTGCTCCCCACTACCCCAGCTTACCTTTTTAGGCAGGAGGGCATTTTTCAATGTAAGCATTGCTGCAGCTACCTACCAATCCTTATTTCCTAAGGACTTTTAAAGGATGCCTATAAGGTCTAGGGGTATTCTTATTATAAGCTGGTATGCTTATTTTGCAGCATCCCAGCTTCTGGTTATTTTTAAATTAAAAATATCTAAATTAAAATCAAGTTGAGTGAAGAGCCTCATGTATGCATAAATAAATTTTAAAAGAAACATAAAGATTTACAGGCTTGCAGCTTTTTAAAACGTTTCCATGAGGCTGATTATGGACTCTCTTGCAAGGAAAATACACATAGCCTTCATAGGGAGCATTTCTAAAGTGTTTTCCTTTAATCTTGTGCCATTTAGATGTGTTGAAATCATAAGGCCCACACTGGGTGATAGAAACTGTAGTCCAGCATATTTGAAAGACACTATATATAGGGAAGAATATACTAAACAGAAAATGCTAGTGCATTAATGAATATATAATTTAAAATAGGGATAAGAAACCTACTTGGGTTAGAATTTTCAAAGCTTATCATTGGAGTACTCATAAAAGGATTTTCACAGCAGTGTGGCTGATCACAAAACACCCATTTATCAGAAGTCAATTTGGCAAAGTTGCTTTGTTACTCTCTGTAGCCATGCAGGATCCTTCCCATTTCCCAATACTTTTTTTCTGGTGGAGAAGGTCAATGAGGCTTTTGTTGCGACCACACCCAATTTTATAAGAATGGGACTCGGAGGATTTCTGATGAAATAAGTTGATGCTAGTGGCTGGGTCTTTACTTTGTACTGTTCCTATGTTTATTTAAATTCAAGGGGTCTTTTACAAGATGGGAGCAAGAATCTGAAGATAGGAAAGAGAATGTTTCCAGGCATACTAGGATCCATAGGCACCCCTTTGTCCACCTTGCTTTAAAAAAAATAATGTGCAACTAAATTTTGAAAGTTTGGACTCCCCTTTAAAGTTTATTTCAACACTGAATGGTATTATTCCTCATCTGTAGCATGGGGATTATCTCTTCAAATCAACATTATTTCTGAGTGAGCTAGATTTCTTTGAGGTTAAATTGGAAAAGTTGTTGCTCCATTAAAAATGAACACTTTTTAAAAGCCACAACAGAGATAGGGAAATTTTTTCATTTAATACTTTTCCTGTTTGTTGTTTTTTTTCCTTCTAATTAGGAAAATGAGAACATTCACATCCTGTTTTTCAGCTACATTTATTCTTAACAATACTTTTCCAGTATGATGCAGATACCATATTTAAATTCATTCCGTGTATTGATTTTAGGAACTTTTACCTCAGAACAATTTAAGGCTGTTTATATTTTTTAAAAAAGTAAAATATTAGAAATCCTCTTTTGAGTTTAGTTTAAAAGGGGAGATTTATTTGCACTACAGAAGTAATCCATGGTTTTGCCACACTTATTGACCAGATCTGGAAAAAAACACCATCCAAATCAATACATGAAGAGATAATATTGCCCTCCTAAAGTACAAGAGTTTCATATCAATATAACTGAACAAGTAGAAATGTGATAAATATATGACTATTTCTATTCTCTCCTCTGATATCTCTATATTTAAATCTAGAGAGTAATTTAGATGTATTTAAGAACACAGGTATCATGAGTTTTATACAGTTTTATTTTGAATGACAAATTCTCATGTTTTAATTATCTTTTGAAGAATCTTAACTACAAAGTAATTTGTCTTATATACCATTGGAAAATGTTATGATCCAAAAACAAAATCGTTGTGTTAAAAGAATTATGTAGTATAATGGATCTATGGATCCGGGTCTATATATCTAACATTTACAAGGGATGAACGAACAGAATGTTTTCTATCTAGAGGTAGACTTCAATTATCTTGATAATTTTCTAATAGTACCCATTCAGTTATGTTCTTGATGAACACTATCCTGCCAGAAATAAAGATGGTAACCCTAACACTTATCTCCAAAATTAAAGCAATTAATTTAAATGTTAGAAAAGTATAAAACTATGAAAAAGTGTTTGCAAAAAGAATAGAGATCCAAGTGATATTAAAAGATTTGCTTCTTTCCCCAGTACTGTCATTCCCACCTATTTGTTCTTTCCCCATCCATAATCAGATACTTGAACATAGTTTCTAAATCGCTCATTCTGATTATCAAGGAATTAGCTGGTGTTAATCCTTACTGTAATGAAATTGATGGCAAATTCATTCCTTACCTCCAATGGATTGGCCTTTCTGCCTTGAACAGTTGTTGGTGTTCACCAGTTACTGCTATGGAGACCTGGCAAGGAATCTTAATAGCAGCAGGCCAGAAGCTCAAAACTGCATCACTGGAAGTTCTTATCTTTTCCTTGGCACAACCTCTTGTGCTCTAGGATAGCAGCCAAGAATACCAACCCTGTCAGCATCTTGGTTGTTTCAGAATATAATATTTATATTTGTCAATATGTGCTAATGATCATGTTTTTCCAGGAAGCTATAGGACTTCTGACTTATGAGGTACAGATGATGTGAATTGCAAATATACTTAATTTGATATTGGTTTCAGAGCATTTATTTAAATAGGGCTGAAATAGACTATATTTCAAATAGTTAAAATAGACTATATTCCCAAATTGCATCTTCTGCTTCTCTTAAGACTTATTTAGAAAGCAATTCAGGTGGCAAATATGATTAGACAAATATAAGTCAGATGTACCAACATTATAGTAATCAAAGAACATTCCAGTTCCCTTCAAATGCAAATAAACCGAGTTATTCTAACTTCTTTTAATTTTATGTTTGCAACTTTTATCCTCTGATTAAATGACTTTGTAACAGCAGCTTCTTGGAAATTGGGAAATCAAGATGACTTATCATGTAAGTCAAACATAAATGTTTTAGATACCTTGATTTTCATGAAGGATTTATCATTTGAAAGATAGGGAATTACTAATGTGATATTTTAATATATAACTTTCTGAGAGAATTTAGAGGATAGAGTACACATTTTGGTGAGCCTATAAGGTGGCAAGAAGTGGGGAAGGTGGCAAGAAGTGATAAGTTATAGTCATGCGAGGTCCTTGCTTAATGACTGGTGAAGTCCTTACTTACAAATGACAGCAACCAGGACTGCTGGAACTGCTGTTGCTAAGCAGCATGGTCACATGGCATTGTGCTTTATTACTGCATCACTTAGCAATTCCTGTCCAAGTTGCCATTGTTAGCCAAGCTATACCTGTATATCTTAATATCAAATTTTGATGAGATATTTAAACGTAAAATTAGAAAGTTCAATTTCTACAGATCAACAGAGATGAATCCTTTGAATTTTTTTGCTTCCCAGCCTTCTTCTACTTAATACTTAAGAAAATGTAAATGCTTCAGAAAAATTAAAATCAATTCCATTGATGTAATAGTTACTATTACAAATGTTAAAGAAGATCTAACATTAGACACCTAATAATTGGGATTGTGAAGCCCAAAAATACCTCCAATGTTCCAGTGTGTTGATTCCTATTTTAAAAGTCACTAAAAATATGCATTATGTTTGACTATAGCCCTAGTTGTGCACTAGCAACTTTTCCTAAATGTTGACCTTCCACAGATAATATACATAACTAGGTGGTACTAAGTTGTGTATACTGTCACTTCCTTGAGTTTTACTAGAATGTTAAGTAGATGCAACTATGTTGTTTTCTTGTCAGTGGTTTGCTTCTGACTTTTTTCCAGTCTAGCTTAAAGCCATTGGATATGCTGGTAATTGCCCAAGCACTTTCCTGGCCTAAATGTGCATGGATTTTTTTAAGATCAGCCAAAATTTGATAAATGCTGTTGCTTCTCCCAGACCATTTATGTGAGATAATTAATAAAGCATTTTGGCAACTTCTTGCCAATAGGCCAGTCACTATCTATCACCCTAGGAAACAAGCAGCAGCAAACCACTTCTGAAATCTTGCCATAGTCTTACTTTAACCTGAAAGAGACTGAATGGCCAGTTGACAAATTTATATATTTATGGGTGTGTCTGTGCATGTGCACAAATATTTCTGACTTGAAGGTGTGCATGCATGTATACACACACATATGCCTTGGTCCTCACCAGTGATAATATTTATCTTACAATGATGCAATCTTATTCCAATTGAATTGAATGCTATAAAAACAACTGGGAAATCAACACACCAGATTCATGAAGCATGAGATGTCTTAAATATGTTTACAGCAGCAAGGTTCTGTCATATGCCTCTGATGGTCAGAGATGCTCAAAGCAAATTGCAGGAACATTATATCATGCCCTACCTACAACATCCCCCAATAATTCTGCCTGGCTATTGCTGGGGACAAATTACTTTACTATATTGTAGTAAGAAGCAGGATCATTGGTTAGGCCAACAAAATAATTTTTAGATCCCTGTAATATAGAAGAAATAAATCATGGAGCTAAACTTCCCAGAAACCCAAATTATTTAGATCAGTTTTACTCCTCTCCACAGCTCTCTACTTCAAAAATATTTTCCAGCAACATAGATTAAAATAAAGAAATGCTTTCTCCTTCTCATCTAGAATTAGATCCAACACCATTTGAAAGATAAGCAACAAAGCTTCCCAACATGCAAAAATATAACTAGAATTTTAACCTCTTTGAACAACATATGTAGACCCAATAAAAAAAACAAGCGTAACTGTTTATTCTTTTGCAGCTGAATCTATTAAAGAGAAATTCCAGCTATTTTTTCGTTGAAGGCTAAAATGAGGCCCCACATCCTGATTTTTTATAGGTAAAATGGAGATAGTAAAACACCATCTTTACATCTCATATTTGACTTCTGAAAATAAAATGAATCTGCACCAGTTATTGTATAAACACAAACATTCACAGTTACAAAGCAAATTCTAAACACTTAATAAAAGACTTTCAATTGTTGTGCAAACTGTCATTTAATACATTTATAAAATGCCTGCATTATTTCACTATGGCTGCAATTCAAAAATTGGTCCTCTCTTACAAAATGTGATTTATTGCAATACTATTGAAAATCACAACTATACACAAGTCTGTAATGTTCATCTGTAATATTAAGTCAACAGAAGGGTGCTTAAAAATAAAAACACCTTACAGTGCATTTGTATATAAATACATGTAAATGCATTATTAACATTCAACATTTAAAGCTGAGTTAGCTATGCAATGATTTTGAATCAGTAGGAGACTGTTATAATGACAGACTTGAAAGACTGGCTGAGTTCTAGGTTTTTTGTCTTTTTTGTAACTTGAAAATCTAAGGCATGGACTCAGGGACAAAACAAATTGTTGTTATCTTAAAAATACATGTTTTAAAAATGTTTGATTTGAATGGAAAATTTTAAATGTCTGTGTCTGTTACTAATCTTTGTCTCTTAAAGAAACATATGAATTTAGAAATAGTAAAATATATAGGTATAGATATAGACAGTTCTATGAAAAAGTCTTCATCTCTTTGAATTTTATAAATTTTGCACATCTTTGCCACTGTAGGTCATCAGAGCTTCATGTGGCTCCTATTTACACAGAAAGTCAGAGTGAGAAGATTACACCAAATCTTGGTGCTTTTTTCCTTTATTTCATAAACAAGCAATGTTCATCTGTGACATATTGCCTTCCTAGTTTAATCAATTCATTTACAGGACCAAGAAGGGTAAATTGTATGAATATTTTATTAAACTTGGTGATTTGGCCTGCCTACCCTATATACAGTAAGTCTCCCAAATCCCTCTCCCCCACTCCACCATTACAATGAGTTTCTCACCATATGGATTCTAGAAGCCCATCATACCTTGCTGAAAACCATTTTTACTTCTTTTTGAAGTAATTGGTGCTTGCCAGCCTGAAAAAGAACTACAAAATGATTTCTAAAGTTCTGGAGCTCTTGGTTTCAGAGTCAGAGACAAGGTCTTGAAATGAAAACAAATTGGGACAATAACATCTTTTCTAAAATTGCTAGCCTATCAAAATCAGTTAAAAAACATTGTGAAAAATCACAAAGAAGCCAAAACAAGAATCTGCAGTCTATTTACATTTGATCTCAGCCAGAAGATCCAAGTAGATCTGGTAGTCTCTTTCACCTTGGCTGTATCAAAAATGCACTTTGGTAACATGGGATACATGGAAGAGTATCCAGGCAGAAGGCAGAAGCCGTGGTTCACTAAAAACATCACTGATGTGTTTGTCAACAAACAAACCATCCTGTATATCCCTCCAGAATTTTGAAGAAAGGTTCTGCATACAAATGAATGAAAGGTGGAATGGTTTAGACTAGTGGTTCTCAACCTTCCTAATGCCGCAACCCCTACCATGTGGTCGTACATTGAGGACTACCTGTATTTCCCTGCAGGCGGGGCAGGAGGAGGCACACACGCTCCGCCTCCTCTCCTGCGGCTGCACGTGGGCCGTCGCCCAGCAACCGCCTCAGCCTGGGAGTGCCACACATACGTGGTGCTGCCCCCTGCGCCAGCCGAGGTGTAGGTGGCAAGCGGCAGCAATGGCGCAGACCGACCACCGGCTGGGCCACCAGCTGGCCCAGCCCAAGGGAGGTAAGCCACCCACCGGGCCCCACGCACGCCAGCAACCCTCTCTGCGCCCGCCGCTGCCCCGCTAGCCTTACCTTTGGCCACTGCACGTTCGGTGCGGCGGCAGGCAGGCCCAGGCACTCCTGGGCAGTCATGGCATGCGGCAGCAAGGGCGCAGGCCGACCACCGGCTGGGCCACCAGCTGGCCCAGCCCAAGGAAGGTAAGGCATCCGCCGGCCCCACACGCGCCAGCAACCCTCCCTGCACCTGCCGGCCTCCCACCTCCCACCCCTGGCCCTCTTTTACTTACTTTTAGTAATTGCTCAGCAGGGAGGGAAGCTTTCCAGAAAGTTCGCCTTATAGCACCGTTTTCAGACTGGGGCTTTTGGCGGGCTCAGCAGGGCAGAGACAGCCTGGACAATTCCTATTGGCTTTTGAAAGCCAATAGAATTAGACTCTATTCAAGAGAGTCTATTCTATTGGCTTTCAAAAGCCAATACAATAAGAGGGAGTAGCACAGCTAAAGAAAAGGGGAAAAAAATGGCAGACAGCCTTGTTTGGTGACCCCTGTGAAATGGTCGTTCAACCCCAAATGGGGTCGCGACCCATAGGTTGAGAACCGCTGGTTTAGACTATACGAATATCATAGAAGTCAAACACTTCAATTTATATGGCTGTCCAGTCACCAAGTGACTTGATGTGGCTAACAGAGTTCAAAATATCAAGGAAAATAAAAAGAATAAAAGAATGCCATATCGTAACTCACATCTGATGCATTGAAATGGGCTCGCACAGCATCCTAACCCAATACTTGAAGGAATGAATGAATCTGAACTTGCCACTCACTCTCTTAGTCCAATCTACTTCACAAGCTTAATATGTAGATAAAATGAAAGATTCTTCCGATCCCATTACAAGGGTCTCAGATCTATTCAGAGCTTACTGTTAAGTGCTCCAAAATCAAAATATTTCAAATTCAATTTTTTTTACCTTAATGCTTACCAGATCTATCTAATTACATTCAAGCAGCACAATAATTCATTTCTGCATGTAGTTACACTATTAACTTCTAAACCAGGGGTCTCCAACCGGTCCGTGGACCGATACCAGTCCGTGGCATGCCAGCAACCGGTCCGCACAAAGCAAAGCCCCATCCATGGGATGCAGGTAGCACACAAAACCACGCACTCTCTGGTCTGTGAAAAACCTTTCTCCACGGAACCAGTCCCTGGTGCCCCAAAGGTTGGGGACCTCTGTTCTAAACCATAGTGCAGGAATAACAGCATTTCTGACAGATGACCATCTAGCTTCTGTTTAAACACCATCTTCCCAAACAGTTTATTACTTTGTTGAATATCTCTTACTATTGGTATTAAAATCAACCCATCTTTTACTTCCATGTAATTTAATCCCAGTTTCTTGGCTAGAAGAGCTCTGAACCAATATGTCCTGTCATTTGCATTATAACTTTTCTAATATCTGAAAACAAATAATGTATCTCCTGATACTTTCTACTCTCCAGGCTAAACATACCATCTCTAGTTGATATTCATACATTTTTTTCCTTCATGACCCTTTATATTTCCTCTTTTCTAGACACAATCCAATATAACAATTTTTTTCTTTAAATATAATGTCCAGAAATGGACACATTTGCAATTAATGATGGCAAACCTATAGACATATGTCAAAGATGTCACACCACAAAGTTTTGGGTGACACACTGGCATTCACCAACACCCATCTTCTTCAATTCTCAAAAGCACGCTCCACGCTCACACAATTTTCAGAAGCTGTGGAGGCTGCGCGAGAATGGGATGTGTTCTTATGTAGCTTCAGGACCCTTTGAAAATTTCACACAATAATGAGGCATGCTTTCATGCAGTTTTTGGAGGCTGCAGAGGCCATGAAGAGCCTTCTTTGAATCTGCTTCAAGAATGAAGGCCTTTTGTGACCTAGAACAGCCTTGGGTAAGCCACAGGGACCTGTCAACAGAAAAAGTACAGCATCTGAAAGTAAGCGGCACTTGGCAGAAACTGGGGAGTGCTGGACTGTGGGGACAATGGCACCATTCCCCAATGTTTGCTCTCCTTGGGGATCGGTGTGACATTTTTTTGTGTGGCAGCAATGATGCTTAAGGCTGAAGTCGAGTCCTGGGCCTCAGGTTTAGGCCCAACCTCAGTACTGCTGCTGCTGAGTGCTGCTCTTCAGCATAACCTAGATGGGGGAGGAAGGGGAGACACAGAATAGTTTCTTTTTTGCTGGGGGGGGGGGGGAAATGACACATCAGCAGAATCAAGTTAAGCATTTTCTGAAGTTTTGACATACCAAGCTCAAATGGTTCATCATTACTGTTAGTCTGACCAAGGCAGAATAAAGAAGCACAAAAATGCACGGTATTTGCTCATGCTGTGTTGATTTGTGTGTCTTTTGCATCTCTGTCCTTTTTTTATTTATTTCAGTACATTAGTATTAACCAGCAAAAAAATTAAAAATCATGGCCAAGACAAACTTCCCTGTAGATTGTCATTGTAAACTATGCAAGAATAGTACTTACTATGCATCAGCAGTTGTGACAACATTTGCATACACAAGGGTTAAGCATATGTAGCCAGATAAATCCCTCCCTAGAATACAGACAGAATTATCTGCCCAATATTACAAAGCAGAAGGTTGGGATCAGGTGGTTAAGATACAGAGGTCCTTTGAGACCACCATTCTTCGAATTATGGGGTTAGTTAGTTCCATTACAAATATTGCCAATGAAAAGAGGTTGTCCAATATTTAGATGGCCTTACTTTTTCATCTGCAATTTGATGGCAGTAAAAAGGACACAATTGCTTCAAACTATTTTGTAGTGTGCTATGGTGTAATTGTAAAGATACCTGAAACTTTGAGTTTAACAAGAGCAGACCAACTTTCTTTGAAGTGTGGGTGTCCCCACTTGATGCTATACACTGGCCAGATTGCATAGCTTCCTGATTGTAAATATCTGGTCTTCTTCATGCAGAGGTAAAGATGTTTCTGTATAAATAGAGGGAAGAGTAACTATAGGAACCAAGGCTTCCTCTTTAAAAAAAAAAAAAACCTATTTGATGATGTATTTCACTTTGCAAAGAATATGGGAATGAGGATAATTTTTAAACTGGATTTAATGCTTTGTCCAGGTTTTCTTCAATGTTATAGTAGCAGCAACTGTAGATCAGAATCTGAAAGAAATGAAATGTTTCATGCTGTTCTGAAACTCCCCAATAACCTTATTCCTATACAGAAGGAGGTAGGGGCAAAATAATTTATCAAATGAAGTATAAGTCAATGACATTTATTTAGAGCACTAGGATAATCCACATTTCACAATCCTCCAATTTCATTTTGTTTCACTGGTCCTTTTCTACAACAATACATCAAACCTACTATATAATAAAACTATTTACATTTCCAAGACTGGGTCATATACAACCCTTTCAATTGCTATTCACATACAGTACTTGACAAACAGCACAATACAATATTTTAATGTCTAAAAAATGACAACCCTGTACTCTATTTATGCTATGAAAAGTGAAAACACAAAAATAAATTTACAATTATGAGATTTTTTTTTACAACACACTAGATTGGATGTGCTAAGCAAGACTTTACAAAACCAGAAAATTTAACAAATAGCTTGATATCTTCCCATTATTACATCTTTAGAGGAAAAAAGTTTGCATTTATTGAAAATGTATAATAATAAAATTAATTTCTGTACAGAATTTATTTTTTTATATTTAGCAAGAGATCGTAACTCTGAATTG